TTGCGGTCCAAAGCTTCACACAGCCCTACAAACCATATATTCCCACTGCATTTTATGTCCTTGTGGGCACTGCCTCCATTTACATATGCCCCTGCTGAAGCCGCATCAGCCATGTCAACTTTGCCTTTTCTCATGTTCCTAAGGAATAGCTTATAACAATTTTATAATCTGCAAAATACAGCACTGACCAGGAGCCTCTCAATTTTTTTTTCAAAGCAGGGACCAACATTTCACAGAATGGCTCTCCCCTCTATAACAGACCCTTTCCCTTTATATTTGCATAAGACCCACCTCGCCATGGATATGTAATTGTGTGTTAGCTCTCTGACAAATCGAAAATGGTCTATTGAGTAAAGTAGTATCTGGAAAGAGTTTAAGGCAGTTTAAGTAGAATTCTTCAAAAACGTTACCTCTAAACTGTTTTTCAAGAGGAAATAGGGTGATCGTTTTCACAAAGTGTCCATTTTCTGCAAAATTTGGCCCATTCCACACAGCTAGTACAGACACCCACATCTCCCTCCCCTTAAATCCAGGCAAGCATTTATTTCTTTCAGTTCCAATGTACAACAGCATACAAGGTAAAGATAGTGAGGCATTCACTATGATTATTAAAATATTACAAAAGGAAGAAATTTCATACTTACCACCAGTGGCTAAAATTAGACATTCTTCATAGGATTCAAAACTGAGGGCACGTCTACATGTGCATTTGATGCGGCACCAGTTTATTTGTGAGTAAATTACCAGCAAATCTGCTGCCACTTCTTGGGGCACTACAACAGGCTCCTGCTGCCACTGGGGGTGCTGCATGCTCTGGCTGCAGCTGGCAGCCCTCTTCAAAAGGCAGCCCCGCATGCTAGTCTCTGGCCAGCCCCTTCTTTAGGCAGAGAGAAGCAGCCCAGTACAGGGACAGCAAGCAGCAGCACTCTCCTTGCTGCCTCTGCTTTCCCATGCCATGGCTCCCCCACACCCAGGGATCACCTGCCCACCTGCCACATACCATCCCAGGGCCACCGTTACCTCCCATCTGCCACCCTGACCCCATCCGCCCATCCCACAGCTTTCCCCATTTAGCTCAGCAAATAATGCTGCAACTAGAAGCTACTGGCAGCGTCTACATGAGTGGCGGACTACGCAATTGTTAATCACTGCACAGTAACTAGTGTAACTGCACAGTACTGTTACCACACATTTTTTTCCGATGCAGTAACTAACTACTGTGCAGTAGTATTGCATCATGGTTAGTGCCCAGCAATGCTACTGCGTCATAGCAATGAGCTATGATGCAGTAGCTCATTCTACTTTGCTGTAGCATCTCATGTAGATGCGCCCACTGAGGGGGGCATATTTATAGAACTATATTGGCTATTTTCTACTGTCCTGGGGGTATGAAAAAATATTTGAATTAAATGGGGGTAGGGAAAGGAAACTGTTTGTCAAGATCATAGATTTGTTTAGTTTCTTTGAAGTTTCCATGGAAACATAAGCAAGTAGGTTGAAGTTTCAATCTTCAAAAAAAGATTTCTGTAAAATTGGATTAGATTAGACAGCATCTGTACTTGTTAAAAACTGTAATTTACAACTCTACAAGAAGTGATTTTTCTGGCCCAGAGGTACTTGTTTGCATAATTACTTAATTATCATCATTTTGCTGTATTTTCAAATGAGAATCAGGCAGTTGTGCTACTATTGGGTATGATTTTATTATGATTATGTTGGTCCAATAGAAGGTATTACCTTGCCTCATTAATCTTGCTTCCCTCATATCTCTGGAGCATAACAGCTATCAAAAGACTAGTAGGATCTGATTAAACACTTATATTTTCCTTAATTTCCACTGGTATAACTTAAGCATTAATTGAACATATTTTTCCACCTACATTTGTATGGAATTTTGCCAGAGATTTTGTTTAGAACATTCAAAATTGATGCCATGCCTGAGGGCTTCTTTTTTGTCCTTGTGGACAAAAACTAAATAATGAGTTGTGAACAGTTCATTTCCCTTTATTATACAAATTCTGACATATTTGAGAAATAATTCATAATTATTTTTAAAGCCATTTACTATTTATCTGAGTGCAAGAACACCTAAATGCTGGTTGAGATATCTTAAAAACAAAAACAAACAAACACAAATGTTGATTAGCTCAAGAATAACCTTTTACCAGTTTTCCAGGAATTTTCAATGTTTTCTAAGTATTTCAAAGTACTGGAAAACATTGAAACCCTGTGGGTACTTGAAAACAGGCATTTGTAAGAAGAGCTGGTGGAGAATTTTTGAACCAAAATGATTTTTCATTGAAGACTACCAATTCATCAAAACTGAAACTTACTATGAGAAACGGTCATTTTTGTTTATGAGATACTGTATTTGATTTTTTTTTTAGTTTCAAAATGCTTACATTTAAATGTATACCTATTTAAATGAAAACATTTTCATTTTTCCAATTCAAAATGACTTTTCCTTTTAAAATGACATTTAAGAAGAGTAAAAAGTCCAAAGAAGAATGTTTTAAAAAGTATTATTAATTAATAAAACAAAATATTTAATTTTTTTCAATGCTTACCCCATCAAAATTCATCTATATATTCTTATAAAGTATATAGACACATATAATGGAAGATTTTCATAATATACATATTAAAAATATCACTTTCCATCTTGTTTTAGCACAGGATTTTCCCTTCAATATCTTAAACATTTTTTGGATAAGAATAGAAGAACTACCATTTACTGGGTCAGAACATAGGTCCATCTTTCCCAGTATCATGTCACAAATTGGCAGAGAGTGGATGCTGAAAGGGAGAGTGGACTGAGTATGACCAGGGCTTTCTCCACTGTTCCTCCCTCATGTCTAGCCTCCAGCACTTAAGGTCTGGCTAAACTATCAGCTTCCACAACATTTGGTAGCAATGAATCCCACACTTTAATTACACCGTGGCTGCATCTACACATGCACTTTACTGTGGAGTAATTAGCTACAGAGTAAAGCATCACTGGGTGCATCTACATGAGATGCTAAATGCACAGTAGACAAATTCTACTGTGCATTACCATGGCAGGTAAAAGCATGCTTATGCACTAATGCACAGTGGAATGAGTCTACTGCACATTAGAATCATAGAAAGTAAGGGTTGGAAGGGACCTCAGGTGGTCATCTAATCCAACCCCCTGCTCAAAACAGGACCATCCCCGGTCAAGTCATCATAGCCAAAGATCTGTCTAGCTGGGTTTTGAAACCCCCCAAGGATGGAGCATCCAGCACCACTCTGGGTAACCTGTTCCAGTGCTTTACTACCCTCCTAGTGAGAAAATTCTTCCTAATATCTAACTTAAACTTCCCATACTGTCAGAACAAGGAGCTTAACCAAAACCATTGGTAATAACCATTAGCACCACCAAAAAAGCATGTTGGAGCTACTGCACAGTAGCATTTAGTACCTGTTATTACAGGTACTAACTTAATGCACTGTAATTACGACATATTAATAAACACGTAGTCGGGCCCATTGTCTACACGTGATGGTATTAGGCCACAGTAAACTAATTTACACCGCAGTACTACCTTATGCTGGGGTAATTTACTGCAGTTAAACACACAAATAAATGCTGACCATGGGTGTAAATTGTGCCCGGTCAGCCAAGTCAGCCAGGAGCCAGACTCCTGCCTGTGGCCTACCCACAGGGCTCCACACTTTCAGCACCCTTGTACCCCAGCCAACTCCTCCGCTGCCCACTGCCACCACCCAGAGCCCAAAGCTGAGAGGCTCTAGCATAAATAGCTCCTCCCTGACTCAAATCGCTGCTGTCTCAGGCACACATGTAGGAGCTGCGCCCAGGAGTAGTTTACTCCAGCTCAAACTGCTCTGGAGTTTACTGCTTTGCATTAATTGCAAGTTATAGACACACCCTGTGTTAAAAAAAATCAACTTATTTTTTCATAGATTCGTAAATACAGATGCTAGGGTTGGAAGGGACCTCAATAGATCATCAAGTCCGACCCCCTGTCAGATGTCTTTCTAACCTCCTCTTGAAGATCCCCAGGGTAGGGGAGAGCACCACCTCCCTTGCGAGTCTTGTTAGTTTTAAATTTACTACCTGCTAGTTTCATTATGTGACCTCTAGTTCTTGTATTGCGAGAGATAGTAAATAATAAATCCCTATCTACTTTCTCTTCAGCATTTAGTATTTTGTAAACCCTTATCATGTGTCCCCTCAAGCATCATTGTTTTAAACAGTATAGGCCTAGCTTCTTTAGTTCCTCCTCATATGGAAGCCCCCCCACACTACTAATCATTCTTGATTTGCTCTAGTTCTTTTATATCCTTTTTTGAGGTGTAGGGGACCAAAACTCAGCATGTAGCAAAATCCCCAGTTTTTCTTTTTTCTTTTAAAATGCACCCCTAACCCCAACCATTTCTCACTTTTTCTTTCCCTCTCTATCCCCTACAGATAACTATAAGTCAGCTAAGATGTAGGATAAGCTTTAACATTTTATTTTTGGTAGTAAGTTTTATTTTTCTCTCCCTTCTTTGCAAATAAGTGTCCAGCTATTTTGATACAGATACCCACTGTTTTATAAGTGACAAATATTATGTTTGTACTGATTTTTACTGCTTTTATATTGTGTGAGTACTGTTTTAGGCCTATACATGGAAGTTAGCATAAGTCATGTCAAGTTTCCATCTCGTACTGTAACCTATAACTCACACTACCCCTCCTATGTAACTTCGTTCCTGAATGAATGAGTCCGACCAGACCCGCTCACCCACTGCTCCCCGCGTCACGTGACTCCCCCAAACCGGTTGAAACCGCTTAGCGCCCGTGCCAGCGGCCAATAGCCAGAGCTCCTCTCCGCCCCGCCCCGCAGCTGCTTGTCACCCTCCACGCGGCTTCTCCTCTCGCGCAGTCTGATTGGCTGGAGGCCCCCTGGAGGGCGCCGAAACTACAAGGCCCATAAGCCCCCGCTCTTTAGAAGCTGCCAGGACGGGTGCCGGGGAGGGACACGAGACTACCTGGCCGGCGTCAAAGGTGAAGCTCAACATGGCGGCGGACGAGGAGCATGGGTCTGTGGAGGTGGCGCCGGAGACGCGAAGCTTCAAGGAGCTGGTAAGAGGCGCGAGTTCCCGTGCTCCACCACCCTCTCTCCCGTCTGCCCGCAGCGGTTTCCACCCGCGTGGGAGCCGAGCCGGGCGGTCGCGGGTGGTCGCTGACGCGTGTCCCGCCCGGTGCGCAGGGGGTGACGGACGTGCTGTGTGAGGCCTGCGACCAGCTGGGCTGGAAGACTCCGACCAAGATCCAGATCGAGGCCGTTCCGGTAGCGCTGCAAGGTGAGCGTGGGGCTCCCAGGCTGGAGGTTAACTGTCACGGGCTTCGAGCCCATAGGGGAAGGGGGACAACAGACCCCTGTGCTGCCTGTGGCACACGCAGCCCCTGAACCTAGCAGCCCGCGCTTCCCGCCCTCAGTGCTGGAGGCTGCCAGGGAAGAGGAGCTGTGGGGAAAGCCCTGGCCCAACCCCTTCACTATCTCTTCCAGCCTCTGCTCGCTGCCCCTGGGCAACGGACCTGTGGGCTGGCCTAGCCATTAACAGTAGTTATGTTCCGGGAGCATACCTGCATCGGACTGGCCTTGCACGCAACACTGGGACAGGTCCAGGTTGGGCTCAGACTAGCTGCGTGTATCAGATCTAGTGCATAGGGGCTGGGTCAGCCTGGGCATACATGCAGGGCACCCTCCCCTGAAATCAGTGCCATGCAGGGCTGGAGCCGGCGCATGCTGCATGGAGCGTCCATCTGGGCCATGTGCTGTATGTCACATCTGTGCTGAACCAGCCTTGCACGCTAGATCTGGGATCAGTCTGGATCGGACCCCTTGGCTGGCCCCACACACTGGATTCAGCCCACAGGGCCGGTCTAGCGCAGGGGCTACATGTAGTGTGTGCCCCAGGCCAGCATCAAGCATGATGTGTAGTATGTGCTACAAAGTGGCTCCACGCACAGCATGCCCTGTGCTGCATGCCCCATGCCAGGCCAGTGTGCATGCTGCATTGTGATCCAGCCTGTAGGCTAGCTCTGTGCCCTTGGGCCAGATGAGTTTGCCCTTGCTATAGGTAGAGCTGGTCAGGGAAGGATTTTGTGGGGGGTTGTTTCTCTTGTTTTATTTCCTTTTTGTACAAATGAAATGTGATTTTTCTCCAAACTCACCCTGAGAACTCCTGTACTCGCATCTTGATCTGTAGAGTACTCTCATCGACTAGATAATGAAAAAGGAATAGTAAAAAATAAGTCATGTTTTTCACAGTATTTACATGAAGAAGAGAGGAGTGAGCCATCAAATAGCTAGTGAAGGCACAGGGGTCAAACTCCCCTGGCCCTGCAGGCTGGATGAGGTTCTCTGGGCTGGTCTGTAGATCAGATCTGGCCACACCAGTTCCAGTGGGGAGGGCTGGTCTGGTGGGATGCTGTGCTGCCTGCATGATCCCTGTGTTGGTATCCTGCACCTTGAGCAGCTTGCACTAGCCCCACTTTGTGGCTTGTGCTGTAAATGGTGCGTAGGCTAAACTTGGTGCCACAAGCATCAGCTCTAGGGCCAGTCCAGATTAGGCCCCAGGTTGTCTGTGTGCCAGAGTCAGCACCCCGGACTGTCCAGCAGGGCACCACAAGCAACTTGCATCCTGTGCCAGTACCCCAGTGCCATAGGCAGCCCCCATGGCACCAGGTCCAGCACAAACCCTGCAGTGGGCCTAGCATATGCTGGACAGGTTGGACCTGGTACCATGGGCACTGTCCATGACTCACAGGGGGCCAGCATGGGGCACCTGTTGCATGAAGTGCCCGGCTGGACAGCCCTGCAACCTGGGTCCAAACTAGCCTTGGAACTAGAGTGCATGTTGTTGTGATGCGGGCATTGCTTGCATCCTGAACCAGCCCCTGTACCACAAGCACCAGCTACTGTGCAGAGTCCAGCTGAAGCACCAGACCAGCTGCAGTGGCAGGATCGTGCCGCTGCATGGGCCATATGTTTGATATCCCTGCTGTAAAATTTTACCTGGGCCCCAACAGGAGAGTAGAAGGAACCCAGGGGTCAAGTTAGAAATCAGGTACAATTGAAATCACTTCATTCAAATTCTGCAGAGACGTCCCTCTGGTGGTTTGTTCCTCACACCCCTCACTGTGAATCTAATTTTTCCAGTCTTCTGTGGGGCCTCCTCATACGAAACTCTCAAGTCTTCCTTTGAGAGGTTTTCCTCATGTGCCTCAACCTGATGCTGCATGGGAGCCCGTTTCTGGATCCAGCAGCGGGCTTATCCCTTCATCTCACTGTTCATAGGTCGTGATATCATCGGACTGGCAGAAACAGGCTCTGGGAAAACAGGAGCTTTTGCTTTGCCCATCCTTCAGGCACTGTTGGAAACACCCCAGCGATTCTTTGCTCTTGTCCTTACACCAACCCGGGAGCTGGCTTTCCAAATTTCAGAGCAGTTTGAAGCTCTGGGATCTTCCATTGGTGTCCAGAGTGGTGAGTGGCCCTTGTAATGGGCTTTATGGTTCTACAGAATTGGAATGTTTGGAAAGTTGGAGGGGCTAGCATTGAAAGTCAGTAGTGTTAAGTTATAAAGCAGATGAGTGAAGAATATGGATGTGGAATGAGGGGAGATGAAGGAAGAGTGTGCTGCTGGAGATCAAGAGGAGAGAATTGGGGCTGGAGAGCAGAGCATTGGGTAGCGGGGGTACCAGCGACAGTAGTACCATGTTGTTCATTACAGAAAACAGCATAAAGCAATCTGTAGCTTCTCTGATGGGCACATTCAAGCAGTAGCCACTTCCCAGGAAGGGAATGGGTAAAATCACTCATAACCTACGCTAAGTTGTCACAGGTATCCTGGTTTTCTCTGTTTAAAAATCCCAAATACTCTGAATTTAAAAAAAAGAAAAGATCCCAGGTTCTCTGATACAAAAACCTGAAAACCACATTTTTGTGATTTTAAAAATGAAACACTCTATGTATGTGTGTGTCAGTTGAACACAATGTGTTATTGAGATATTTACAACTCTAAAACAGTTTGGAAGTCTACCCGTGCCTTAATCATTATAATAAAATAAATTCTAAATACTTATTTTGGTGGGGGTGGGGAGGGTCATAGAAAGTCAGAGCTTCCCGTGTCCCCTTCCCTCACCAGGATGTGGGTCAGCTGCCATGGTCGTCTTCCCCCTCTCCACCCCACAGCTTTGTGGCACTGAACAGCCCTGCTTTGCCAGTGCCCTTCCCTGCTCCCAGCCCCTGCAGTATATGACGAACGGGGTGGGCGAGGGGGGTAGGGGAACAGGTGACGTTTGGGGGTGCAAGGTGGGGGTACAGGCCTCGTATCTGGCAGGTGGCGCAGGCACAGGCAAGTGGGGGGGGGAGGGGGTAGCACATGCTGCCCCAGATTTCTGCCCCCACAGTGGAGCGTGGGGTTGTAGCCAGGCAGGACCAGCTCTGGGAAGAGCTCTCTGTGAGGTCCAGCAAGCAGGGCCTGCTGTAGGAGGGAGGGAATGCTGTGCCACCGTGGCCACCAAGGTGAGAGGGTGGCAGAGTTATGCTTGCTGCTGCTGGGTGGTCAGGGGCTGCCTGTGCCCCCAACACACAGACACACAGACACACACTCTCTCTCTCTCTCTCTCCCCCTCTCTCCCCCCCCCTCTCTCTCTCTCTCCCTATGCCTTTACCCCTGTAGACTTACCTGGAGAGACCTGCTCTGTACCATACTGTCTGGCTTGCCATGTGCATGTAAACATGCACGTGATGCCCCCTGATCATGATCCCCCCACCCTCCAAATTCTTGGAGGCTAGAACTCTGCTAGCCTGCAAGGGGAAACCCTCAATTTCATGGATTTTTCTCCTTTAAAGGAGAAAGTTGTGTTTTTCCATGGCAAATGGAAACCCAGATCCCTGGTTATCAGCAGTCTATTTGACTTGGCCTCTATCACTAAATTAAATAGGATAATTCACATCCATCAAGATTATTTCTGTCTGTCTTTGCAGACTCTTGGCATTCATAGACCTTTTGGTTTCTTTGTTTGTTTGTTGTTTTTTAACCTTATTTCATTGAAATAAGTGGCCTTTACTTCCTTAGGGGAGGAATGTGTACTAGATGTGAGCAAAAAGGTGCGTTGCTGACTATAATGTTGGCTTGCATTGGTTTTGTTTAAGAGAAACTCATTCTGTTCTTTTGGACTTGCAGCCGTTATCGTGGGTGGAATTGACATGATGTCTCAGTCTCTGGCATTAGCCAAGAAGCCACATGTTGTAATTGGTAAGAAATTAACCTCTGTAGAGCAATGAGGAGAATCCATTCAATGACATGAAATATTGGCGGTCATAAATTCCTATACGTTTGAGGAAAAAACAAGGATTGCAATCTTATCACATTGCAGTGGTGTCCAACCTTTGGCCCCATGGTCCAAATGACCAGTGCCAAGTCAGTCTGTGAGATGGATCCAGTCTGTGGACCTGATTATGCCACACAGTGTTTGGAAATTGGCAGTGGGGTAGTGCTGCCAGTGTGAATTACCACTGCTCCACCACAATCACATCTCTGGATGTGTGGGGAGCCTCATGGGCCAGATCTCTTACCAATAAAGTGTCATTTTTCATGACACACTTGTGTGCTACAAAAGTGGCACTAATTTGCTATGGCACACCCTTTGGAATTGCTGACCCAAATACTACAGTCTTGTTCCAAAATTGTTCATTTAAGTTACTCTGGGGACTGCCGGGAATTCAAATACCATTGTTTTGCTCCTCTCAGAATAAGTCCAGCCTAGCCTGTTTTGTCCACTTATAAAGCCTGGTCTGTTACTGTTCTTCTAGGAAAATTGTGGACTTGGGGAGCTCTTCAGTTGCAGGTGTTCCCTACTTTAGTTTCTCATGAGACACCTTCAGTTCCCACTACAGCTCCCTACTCCTGTGGTGGGTTCTACCATCTTGGGCAAAAGAAGCAAAAAGAATTCTTAATTGTTATTAGTTGCATTCAGGGAAAGCTTTCCCATGCTCTACCTCCTTTTACCTTTCTCTCTTGTCTCTTCATAGCAACACCAGGCCGTCTGATTGACCACCTGGAAAACACAAAGGGCTTTAACTTGCGAGCTCTCAAGTACCTGGTTATGGATGAAGCTGACCGAATCCTCAACATGGATTTTGAGACAGAAGTGAGTTATCCACCTATTGCCCTTTAAAAAGGGTCTGATTAATAAAACCAAGAGCATCACATGGAGGAGTTCTGACATTAGGACTTAATAGGAAAATTAGATCCTTGCTGTAGTTTAATTAAACTATATGAGAATTAAGCACGCAATATGCAGCTTTGAATATTCAGACCAAATTCTACAGATAGAATTATTTTTTTAATTAAATTCCATGGCATGAATTAAAAGACTCGGAAATGATGTAGTCTTTGTTAAACTCAATATATTGAGTTCTTCCATAAGTGTTTGTCATCTTGTGGTTTTATCTAAAAGGAAACACTGTTGTAGTGCTAGCTTTTTTCATTTCCTTCGGAAATTTCAAATGGAGGTGCACACCCCTTTGAATTGTAAGTGTGGGTACTCACATACTTTTGATTGATCATAGTCAGCTTTCTGGGACCCTTTAAATAGGTTGAAAACCACTGCTATAAGCTTTTGTATCTTTTGTTTTCCGAAGTCTGTACTGTCCGTGCCCCCCACCCCCACCCCAATCTCCTCACAGGAACCCTTGGAACCCTTTCAAAAGGGGAGCATTTCAAAAGGGCAGCAGCTGGTACTAATTGTGTGTGAAGGACCTGAGAACAATTCAAATGCAGCAAACCAGCATTTTAATCCTGGATGAAGAGGGTTAAAGTAAGTGGTTTACTGGAGAGGTTCCCAAGCACTGGGCCATGAAGAGTTGTCTCCTGGGGCCGCCCGGAGTTGCGTGTGAGGTTAAAGCTGGATGGCGAGGCAGCCCTGGAAGGGAGGCAGCTGGCGCCAGCTTCCACCACCATGACCGCGCCCGTCAGTGCCGAGCGAGGCAGAAACCCCCAGCCCCACCTGTGACTGAGAGCGGAGCAATATGGGCATAGAAATTCCCAGGGCAGAGGGTGGGGTGGTGGCTCTGCTGCTTGCTCCTAGGGAAGGCAATGGAGCCCACTCCCCTGCAGGGTCCCCCAGTGCCTGTGGCTGTGGTGCCCCAACCCAATCCAATCCTTGCAACCCCCCACCCCACATAAAAATTAAATTTAAATATTTAAATTTAAATATGTCAGTTAAATAGAATTTCAATTTAAGTAGAATTAGTGAGTCAAAAGGTCAGGCAGGGTCAAACAAGATGCTGGGTTCAGGACTCAGCGACTAAGGAGGTAGGCAGTTTTGGCTAGGAAGACAGTTTCCCCCTGACTTAAACAAGAGCAGGTTCGTAATGGTCAGTTTCCCTGTGCTGGCCATCTGTATCTACTGCTGTCTCCTGTCTTGGAGTGCAAGCTGTTTGGGGCAGGGACTGTGTGGTTATATTGTGTTCCTATGTACAGTGCCTAGCACAGTGGGTCCTGGCCCATGCACGAGATGCCTAGGCCCTCTGGGAAGGCAAACAATTGATTCTCTCCTGGTTTTGATTGCTCTGCCGGAAAGAGGCCTTGAAATGAGCCTTGCACATGACTGGCCAAGTATAAGCTAAGTGGTTGTGGGGTTACAGGAGCACTCAGAGCAGAGGGTTCAGTTCTCTGTATTCAGACCGTTGAAAAGTTTATTAAAAGAGGCCATCCTTAATGGATTAGCCAACGCCAACATCCTGAGGGATAGCCATCACAGGTCTGTTGCAGGTAGGTCTTGCTTGACCAATCTCATTTCCTTTTAAGACCAGGTGACCTATCACTTGGACAAGGCAGAAGAGATTGATGTCATATATCTTGACTTTAAAAAA